GTGACGTACCTGCTCTTCTTCAAGAACGCCGACCTCACGTAGCATAAGACCCAAGGGCTGCATGGAGGACCGGTGAGAACATGGTCATGCGAAACGACGAACGTCCCCAAGGTGACCTACCCGCTCTTCATCAAGAACACCGGCCTCGCGTAGCATAAGACCCAAGGGCCGTACGGAGGACCGGTGAGAACATGGTCAAGCAAAACGATGAACGTCCCCAAGGTGACGTACCTGCTCTTCATCAAGATCACCGGTCTCGCGTAGCATAACAACCAAGGGCCGCACGGAGGATCGGTGAGAAGATGGTTGAGCGAAAAGACAAACGTCCCTAATGGCTCTCAAGGACCGCTCACATAGACAGTTGGGTTCAGAGATCTAGAATACTGCGGGCAACCGTTGCGTCAGGGGCGTCGGCTAGAGGCAATACGACGGGGCAATTTTGTTTGAGGCCTACTGGATGGGCGACCCCTAAGCCCAAGCTCCCTGGTAAGACCCCATGGGAACATTCCGAGGAAGAGGAGAGTGTCGTCCCCACAAGGGACACACGTCGGGAGACACTGACCCGTCGACTTTGGAGGCGACAAGGGCATTATCTGGAGACGTACGTCGGATTCAAATCTACTTCCGTATGTCCCGCGCATGCTCAGAACATCAGAAGTGGGGGACTTGTGTTGGGAAGGCCCAAAGCAACAGAGTACCTTTCCGCTGATTCTCCAGAGGTTCGTCCCCAACAGGGCCAGGCTCAACATATATGGCCAGGGGACGTACGTACGATAGTCTAATGGTCCCTTGGCCCAGGAGCAACACCACGGGGATGTACGTATCCTTAGCCAGGGCCAGGCTTCAGCACAAAGGCCAAGGGGACGTACGTATCCTAGCATCGGCAGGTCCCTTGGCCAGGCACAGCACAAGACGTTCGTCTTGAAGGACTTGGATCCTAGCAAGAAGGGGGGCAAGATCGTGGGATGAACGTCCCCTCCTTGGCTGGATGCCAAGATCCCAGCAGGAGGGGGAGGCAAGCTCATGGGATGAACGTCCCTTCCCCTTGACGGGAAGCCAAGATCCTGGCGGGAAGCGCATTTAGTGTAGAAGATTTGGTAGTTGGGGTGAAGCGGTCCACAGCCCGCCACGTCAGTGCACTCAACTACCCATTAGCAGTATAAGTAGAAACATTTATTTCATTGTAAAGAATTGGCAACGAAGCACTCTAATAGTATAACATTGTAACAGCTCGTAGCATAGGCTAGGGACGAATGGTCTCACGCCTTTGTATGCTAAGGACGAACAGTCTCAGGCCTTTGTACCGAATTTAATGTACTAAAACTTCTTACTGGGCCTCTTCTCGCTTGTTTCTTCATCTTTTCTTCTTACTCTTTCATTCGAAACCTTTAGGACACGTGTTGGGCCTACGGGTTGAAGGAATAAACTTCAACAACTAATTTGTAATAATGTCACTTTTACGACATTTCATTTGCTAAGGTGACAATTTCAACAAAAAAATGACATTTCTAAAGAGTAATAATGTCATACTCGTGACATTTCCGAAATAAAAATGACATATTTAAAATATAAAAGGAGGAGGAGTCATTGCCATGTTTCTGAGTAACGTAGCAACGTCACTTTCTTGACATATACTACGTATATTGTCATCTTGGTAAATGTAATGTCATCATAAAAGTGACTTTTTTCTAATTGCTTGTAATTTATGGCATTTTAAGCTAGTTCCAAATTAATCAAAGTTATTAAATAAATAAATAAAATTTAAATGTAAACAGGAAGAAACAGAGGAGCCGAAATGAAAGAGGATGGGAAGGAAAAGAAGAAAAAGAGGGGGAGGAGGAACGAGTGCATGCAGTGGCTTCGATCAGGAGATCGAGCACTGCGACTGATGGCGTCAATGGGAGAAATCGCAGGCTGGGAAGAAATCACACGCACAGGGCAGACGGAAAAATTGGTTGGGTTTAATTAGGAAGGATAAAAATATAATCTTGAATTCTATTTACAATAAATAAAAACTTAAAGTCTCATTAGTTACTGCTTCCATCCACACACGAATCAAACTCTTTCATTCGCCAAAAAGAAATCAGCCAAAAACCCTCCTGATGCGGTCAAGAAACTGTCGCCGAGTTAATAATATTTTATAGAACCTTGAGAGAAGATAATTAATAGCTCTTGAGAAAGCTTTAGAAGCTAGAATAAACCAGAAAGAGGATAAGGAATCTCCTTATTTGACAACTTCTTTAGGTTTAAAAAAACTTGAGAAATACCATTGAGTGTGTTTGGGAGTTAGGTTTTGCAGGGGAGGGGAAGGTTAATGCGAGGTTATGACCCTCCTTTTAATGTTTGGGAGTTTAGAAAATTGAAGGGGATGGTTTAGGAGGACTTTTGTAACCCTTCAAACCCTCCAAATGCTTAATTTTTAAGTTCCCCCAATTTGGAGGATTTTGGAAGATAATTAACAACATGATAGTTTAAGCTATATTAAAAATGAATATGAGCTCAATGATTTGAATTCGTCATATCTCAAAGTGATTTTAATTATAATTCTTTCAAAAACTCTCTCCTTTCAATTTTATTACTCCCAAATACAAAGAAGGACTTCCTCACCTTTCCCCTCCAACAACATACCTCCAAAGCATTCCCCTCCCCTTCCCTGCAAACTCCCAAACATACCCTTAGTGAACATAGAGAGGGTAGTAGCTGGTAAGTTGTCCATAATAATTCGAACTACCCGGGAGGAAACGTCAAATTAAATTATGATAACCCTAAAAAATCTCAAGATAACATATCAAAAGCCTTAATTGTGTCTAGCTTAATATCCATATTGGTAGTTGGTACCCTTGACGTACTTTTGTGTCAATAGCATGAATTATATATCTCTTGAGCTATTAAAATATGATCACAATATCTATGTTCATAAATCTAGCTTGCTCGAGAGAGATAATCAACTTAAAGAGAATAGTATCTTAGCTGCTAGAAAATATTTTGGTGCACTCTTTACTAATAAAAGCAGATAAGCAAATTGGTTTAAAATATGAAAAAGTCGCAGGATTGTCTGTTTTGAAAATTAGAACAATGGATGAGTTAACATAGCTTGAGGTATTTTGGTACCCAAAAAGAACTCATGTATAGCCAAAAACACATCGTCACCCACTATATAGTAGAATAATTCTCATCATAATTGTTGAAACAAGTACACCAATACATTTGCAAAACAAAAGTACACTACAATAATATGTTAATTATACAGAGTATGTTATTTTTATTTTCTTATTTGTACCTTTTTGTTATATCATGTTGCTTTTAATTATCTGACGATTCTTTTTATTACATCATGTTGATTATTATTGTTTATAATTGATTTTGAATTTTGTTATTTAGTGATTTTTGTTTGTGCTTGATGCTTCTTGGCAAAAAAAAATCATATATAAATTTATACTGAGTCGCCTAAAATGATAAATTTGAATTTGTGTGAATATCAACAATCACATGAAACATAGAGAAACAATAATAAACAAAAAATGAGACTTATTATTATTAACAATAAAATCATATACTCAAAGAAAGAGACCTAATGTTACACCTACTTAAATGAGAAATTCGGACATTCAATCATTCATTCTTCACAGGGCCGTTCCTTGCTCAAAGCTGTGTAGGCTTGAGTCATGGCCCCAAAAATTTGAAACAATTAGGGACCCAAAATTTTATAATATCTCTGTCACTTGTTATTTAGTCATCTTTGACTTTTTCAGTCAAACTTGATCCATTATTTTAACTAATATATTTATGTGTACTACTTTATAAATTTATATTTTTATGACAATATATTCAACATAGAACATTTTCATATCATATTCATATTATCGATATTACCGTGTATAAATACTTGATCTGTCAAAGTTTAACATCATTGACTTGAAAAATAGTGTTTGGCTAAATAAAAAGTGACCGATAGAGTATAACTTTACATTATACGGAGTACATAATTAGGAGAATGGTTCTGTCAGGCCGGCCTAAAATGATCCGTCGTGCATTCCGGTTGAATTTTATGATGAAATTTTATAATCATGTTTTTGGTAGATTATTCTCACAAAATTTCAATTTAATACTCAATTGGTAATAAAGGTTATCTGAAAAAGTGAATTTAGTTGTGTGAGGGAGAGTGTATTTAAAACATTTAATTATCCAATTACGCATTTACCCTGCATATCAGAAAAGAAATACGTAGTATGTCGTCCATCATTGACTCAAAGTAGATAACATAAACAAACTACAGCTTATATTAATTATTATTAATAAACTACTCCGTAATTGAACTAATCAACGTGTACATGCATATCAATTATTACGTAGTAGGTTAAATTAGGTATTTTCTTTTGCAATAATAATTGCATTAAAAGTCGACTTGCGCTAGCACGGTGACAAAGTCCCACCAAAATACTTTTTTAATACTCCGCACGTAATTTCTTATTGGATCTTCAACGTGCAACATTTGTGCATTCCCATTACGCCGCATGCATATATATTATTGGGAAAGAAAATGAAACTGATTAATATATAAAGAATTGCAGAAATAGTGTGATTAAAAAATCAATTGTTATATTTAATTAATACTCCATAATTTATACTATCGTAGTAATTATGATTATGCTATTATGTTACCAAAAAAGTTATTATGATTATGTTCGATCAACTTTATGCTATCGAAAAAACGCTATACTCATCGATTCATCATAAATTTAATCCTTAATATTCTGGTCTATAAAATTTATTTGACTAATATTTTAGTCTTTTGGAACCAAAATTGAACAAATAAGTAGCCATCATTGACCAAAAAGTAGATAAGGATAAGAAAATTGCACTTTGAATTGATTAATAAACTAAATTCAACTAGTAGAAAACAGGAAATTGCAAAGAACGAGTAATTGAACCAACCCGCCGGCCACGGCCCCAGCTCCCAGAATGTGTATATAAAAGGAACGAGCATGCAGCCAATACATATCAAAACACGAACTCATTCAAGCCGTCCAAATATGGCAAATCTCAAAATGATATTCACTTGTTCATCATTCCTAGCCTTAACATTCCTTTTGACGGCTGTTTCCGGCCATTATTCTCATGAATATTGGTGCCGTCAAACCCCCTATCCACACGAGTGCGAATACTATTTGAGGGATTATCCACCTATTAACAATCAATCACATTTCCTCAAGGCTACTTTGGAAGTTGCCCTAAACAACGCCAAGCGAGCTAGGGCCCACGCAACCTTTTTAGGCTCAAAATGCGGCAACGAGCGTGAAAAGGCTGCATGGGCGGATTGCTTGGAGTTATACGAGGATATGGTCGAGAGGATCGACACAATCGTAAATCCTCGTGCCAAGTGTAGTGCATCTGATGCACAGACTTGGCTCAGCGCAGCCTTGACCAACCTCGACACGTGTTTGACCGGTTTCACAGACCTAAACGTCACGGACAACATATTGCCCGTGTTGAAGTCAAACAATGTGTCATGTTTGATTTGTAACACTTTGGCCCTTAACGAGAATTACACTACTACCGATGATACTGCCACTTATAGAAATGGTTTCCCGGCTTGGATCAAGCCGGGAGATCGGAAGCTATTGCAATCGTCATCCCCGGCCTCACAAGCCAATATTGTGGTGGCTGCAGATGGGTCCGGGAACTATAAGACGGTTACCGAAGCTATAGCGGCAGCGGGGAAAAGATCCAGCAGTCGGAGATTCGTTATACATGTGAAAGCCGGATTGTATAATGAAAACGTGGTAATTGGGAGCAAAGTAACCAACATCATGCTACTCGGTGATGGAATTGGAAAAACAATTATCACCGGAAGCAAAAGTGTAGGAGGCGGCACAACTACCTTCAACTCGGCCACCGTTGGTAAGTCAATTACTTGATCTGTCTGTGTATACTAAAACTCGACCACATTGAACTTTCTAAGTTAATTATGGTCAAGTTTGATCAATGATATATTTTAGGGCGAGTTCCCGAAATAGGACCGAAACAATTTGAAAATTCCAAAATAGGACTGTCATGTTTTTTATTCCCATAATAAGAGTAATTACTGCTATGTTAAGAAAATACCGCCATGTTTGAAGTCTGGTACTGCCAAAACATGGCAGTAATTAGTCCTATTTTGGGAATAAAAACATGGCAGTCCTATTTTGGAATTTTCAAACCTTTTTAGTCCTATTTCGGGAAATATTCTCTATATTTTAATACGTATAAAATTATTTCAAATATAAAAGTATACTCTTATACAAATATTTCAAACCTTTTTAGTCGTATATTTTCTTTATTCAAAAAATATTTTCATAAAAGTATAAAAGTAAGTTTTACACACACACATATACGAGTATATAATAACAACTAAAATACTCTTAAATTCCCTATTCCGAAGATTTGGCATACATATTTATTATCTAAAGTTTATTGTCATTCACCAAAATAAGTCAAATTGATTATGTTTTATGGGATGGAGGGACTAGTATAAACTTTTATAGAAATTGCTCTAAATAGAAGCAAAAACGTTTTGAAATTCCAAAATAGAAGTATCAAATTTTTTATTCCCTAAATAGGAGTAGTATGTCAAGTTTAGAAAAAAATATCATGTTTTAAAATCTATTAATGCGAAACTTGGCAAAAATTTACTCTTATTCAAGGAATAAAAAACATGATAATCATATTTTGGAATTTAAAAACTTTTTTAGTACTTACTCCATTCTTAAATAAATGCAACGGTCAACATTTCACACTTGCCGAGATACAACTTTGACCATTAACATAAATGATTTTGTATTAGTAAAAAAATTTAAAAAATTAGATTATGAAAATTTACAATGAGACAAGTTTAACAATATTTTTTTCAATAAATAATATTATTACATTAATAAATAAAACGTAGTCAAAGTAGAACATGTGAATTGTGTAAAAGTCAAAGTGTTGCATTTATTTAAGAACGGAGGTAGTATAATACAGTAGTAATTTGTATACGCATGCAATTTGTAATTAACTCATACGCATGCAATTTGTATACGTGCACTATATAATTAACTTTTTGCTACTTAAATGGAATTTGTTATGTGTTTTAGCTGTTGCTGGAGATGGATTCATTGGTCGAGGAATAACTTTTAGAAACACCGCCGGAGCTGCGAACCACCAGGCGGTTGCCCTAAGGTCCGGGTCGGATCTCTCGGTGTTCTACCAGTGCAGCTTCGAAGGGTACCAAGACACTCTCTACGTTTACTCTGACCGACAGTTCTACCGGAATTGCGACATTTACGGGACGGTAGACTTCATCTTCGGTAACGCCGCCGTCGTCATCCAGAACTGCAACATCTATGCCCGAAACCCTCCTGCCGGGACCAACACGATCACCGCCCAGGGCCGGACCGACCCGAACCAGAACACCGGAATATCCATCCATGACAGCACAGTCGCGGCAGCTTCGGGCCTGTCTGGATCTGCGAAGACATACCTTGGACGGCCGTGGAAGCAATACTCTCGGACCGTGTTCATGAAGACCTCCCTTGGCAGCTTGATTGCCCCGGCGGGGTGGTTGCCGTGGGACGGGACGTTTGCTCTGAGCACTCTCTACTACGGCGAGTATGCCAATATTGGGCCGGGGGCGTCGACGAGCAACCGCGTGAAATGGGGCGGATATCACGTGATCACTTCCGCAACTGAGGCTTCCAAGTTCACCGTCGGAAACTTCATCGCCGGTGGCTCGTGGTTACCCTCCACCAACGTGCCGTTCACTTCTGGCCTCTAAAAAAGCTTTAGATGCATGAACTTTCATGCACGTACCGTTAAGATCAGAAGGACGCGTATATATTACTGCTATTCTCGATCACTTTGTGCATTTCTTTCTATTGTTTGGTTTTGGCATTGTTGTCATTTATCCATTTTTTCGTATAATGTTAATGTTGTATACAGAATATTTAAGAGTTAATTATCAAAATAGGACTAAAAGTCATTCACTTTTCACAAATAGGACCAAAAAATAAACTATGTTTGCATAGGACTAATTATGTGTACCTTGGACAATAATACCCTTATAGCTATTTTAATGTTTTAATTCCTAATAAAATAATAAAAAATAATAAAAATTCGTAAAAAATACTAAAAAATTAAGAAAAACATTTTGATATTAAAAATTTAATTAATTTTTTTTTTCAAAAAAATAAAAAAATTAAATCAAAAAATAAAAAAAAAATAAAAAACTCAAAAAAAAATCGCCGCCGCCTCTGCCGCCTCAGCACCACCACCTCCAGTCACCAGGGGAAAAAAATGCCAAGTTCATTACGAATGCCATATTTATGGCAGAAAAAAATGAAAATGTTGGCATTCGAAAAGAGAAATATGCCACTTTTTTGGCATTTTCAGAAAAAAAATGGCATTTTTCTGGGAAAATGGCATTTTTTTCATCGGCCGGAGGTTGTGGTGCTGGGAGGTAGTACAGGCGGTGGGAAAGGCATCCATATTTTTTTAAATTTTTTTTACGGAGTTTTACTATTTTTTATTAATTTTTTAAAAATAAAATTATTTTTTAAAAAAAAATTTTTGAATTTTTTATTTAATAAAAATTTTATAAATTTTTTAATTATATTTCTATGAATTTTTGAATTTTTTTCGAATTTATTATGAATTAAACATTTAATTATGGCTTTTGACTATTTTTAATTCATATTTAATGGAAGGGTAAGAATGGAATGCAAAAATAGGTATGTTTCCAATAGGACTCATATGGTCCTATTTTGGAATAAAAACATAGCAAGTCCTATTTTAGGTTTTTGTCATAGTTTTAGTCCTATTTGAACTAATTTCTAAATATTTAATAACAAAATTAAATGCCTGAATTTAATTTCTAGTGTATATTCTCATCGAGTTACATTGTAAACTTTGATATTTCAAAGTATCCGAATTAAATTTCAATGAATCAATTTTAGCTATCTCGTACTCTGTATACAGTTTATTTAGTTTAATAAGGATTTTTTTCAGAAATCTCATACTCCGTTGAAATCTCAATCCGAATAAATATCCAATTTAAAATTGAATCATTAATTTTGTTAACATAAAATAAATCTTTTTTATTCAGTTTAATAATGAATTCTATTTTTTGAAAGCAAGGAAATGAATGTTTACATTATTTTGTGTAGGTTATTCTATGTTTAAGAAAAACTGTGTTTTCATATTTTTATAACTCATTTTTTTTATGTTTTTTTATTCTTTTTATTTACTTAAAATCATCAAGGGATCATTTACTCCTTTATACTCGTAGGAACAATAGGGGTATCATTGTACTTTGAGAACTTCAACACTCGCCTATGTGGTCATTCAATTCGGATAATTTAAGCGTTGGCTTTGTCATTGAATAGTCATGGCAACGACTTTGACTTTTGCTATAATCGGGTGCATAAGATGGCCAAACTCGTTTTTTTAAAAGTAATTGTCTTAGATGGGAGTAAAATATTGAACAAATTCTAAAATAGGAGTTCTCTTTGATTTATTATTCCCTAAATAGGAGATCTTAATTGACTGATCCATTTTATTTGTCCATTATACCCTTCCTTGTAAATTAATTAATTTACTTTCCTTATCCTTCTGTCAGAACTTTCTCCGTTTCTCACGCAACAGTTCTGCTTCTCTCTGTTTTGACCCAATCTCTCTCACCCTTCTCTTTGTTTTGACGCAATCTCCTTCTCCGTTCTCTCTCTTTTCATCTCCTCCTCCCCATCTACTTTCTCCCACTTCTCCATTTCCGGCGGTTTTATAAAGTTTTGATTGCTGATTTTTCTCTCGAATTCCGACACCGGTGAGCGGCGGCAATCATTGTAGGTAAGTTTTTATCTTCTTCTCCTCTTCTTTATTCTTTTTCTCCCTTTTCTTCTTGTCCCCTTCAATTCTTATCTTTTCTTTTAATTCGCTAGGTGGTGCGGCAGACTTTTGCTTGAAGATATTTTGTGCTCGGCAGCTTGATTACAACAAGGAAATTTTTTGTTTGATTTTGATTTAATTTTCTTCTTTCTTTCTAGATCTATTTCGTGCTAGATTTTTTTTGTCGGATTTCTTTATTGCATTTTTGTTCTCTCTTTCAAATTTGTTTGCTTGTATTTGATTTTAGAAATACAGAATACAATTTTTGAGATTTGATTTCAAACAATGTTTTTTAATTTTTCAGCTTATTTTGTGAATTGAATCTGAAAATATCTTAATTGCTATTCTAAGGTGATTTTTATGGTATTAAGATGAAAATATTAGGGAAAACTATCAAATAAGCCCCGTACTATACCGAAAAAGTCGATTAGGTCCTCGTACTTTACAAACACTCAATTAAGTCCTCGAACTATTAAAAAACGTTCAATTAAGCCCTTTTGGTGGTTAAGTAACCGATTTCCCGGTTAAACGATGACGATGGCGACGATGTGCTCGAACCCCAGCAACGACGGCTTCCGGGAAACAGGTTACATTTAACCGGGAAACCGGTTACTTACCGACCGAAAGGGCTTAATTGAACGTTTTTTAATAGTTCGAGGACTTAATTGAGTGTTTGTAAAGTACGAGGGAGGACCTAATCAACCTTTTCGGTATAGTACGAGGGCTTATTTGATAGTTTTCCCAAAATATTATTACTTTGCAAATAGAATACTAAGATGACATGTTTTTCCATGTAAAAGTATTGGCACATAGTGCCATTTTTTATGATACAAACTCTTTTAGGATGGCAAATAAAACACTAATATTGTCATATTTTTCCATATTTTTTTTGGCACAGTGCCATTTATATGGAACTAACTCCATGAAAGATGACAATATATGACACTTGTCAATACAATATTTATAATGCCTTGACAATGTCAAAATGACAATGAATCCTCCTATGTTTGAATGTGTATGCCATTATGATGACATTCAAGTTATCAAATGGCATTTTAAAGCTTCCAGATCTCTTCCATGAGATCTCATGGGTAGTGGTAGAGCCAGAAGAGATAAGGGTGACCGGAGTGAAGCGACACATAATCCGGCGATGGCGGTGGATGAGGCAGCGATGCCGACAGCGGGAGGCAACAAAGATGATAGCGCCAGTGACTGGCGGTAATATTGGCGGAGGCAGTGGCGGAGATGCGGTGGTTGTGATGTCCGGCAGCGATGGAGATGTGGTGGCAGTGATGACCGGCGACGGTGGAGAATGGAGGTGGTGATGTTTGGCGGTGATGGCAAGTCTAGGTGGTGGTGGTGTTGGCGTCTGACTTGTGGCACGGAGGAAGAGTTCAATGTTGTACTCGTTATATGCTTTTATTTATCCATATATTTTACGTAGTACTCCCTCCGTTCCCAAAAATACTTCTCACTTTCCTTTTTGGGCCGTTCCCAAAAATACTTCCCACTTTCCCATTTTGGACAATTTGTGTGGCTCACATTCATTTTACTTTTTTCTTACACAACCACAACCATACATTTCCACTTTATTCCACTTTCTTAATAAGCGTGCCAAGTCAAACCGGGAAGAATTTTTAGGAACGGAGGGAGTATTATTTAATAAACATGTAAGGATTTCATTAAGTGTAATTGTGTCAACTCATATTGTTTTGCTCATATTCAATCTTATGGAACATAGGACTCCTACTTGTGCACTTTAGTTATGTTTTACTCCCACTTAGGAACAACAAAGAAATGCTCAATTAAACTATTTAGGAGGTAACTTCCGGGTTTCCCGGTCGTCTACCCATGTGGCATTTTTTCCTTTTCCATTTTCCATTTTTTCTTTTTCTTTTTCCCTTTCTTTGTTTTTCTCTTCTTCCACTTCACAAAGGCTGGTTCCAGATGCGTAGATCTTGTTCACCTTCCGGGAGTTGCCACCATCGCAGGGGACTGCAACACCAACGCCGGGTACTGTGGCCGCCAGCGCCTGGAACTCCGACAGCCATTGTCATGGAACAACAGCCCCCAGCGCCGGGGACTTCGGCCGCCATTATCGGGGGACAACATCCGCCATCGCTGGAGCTTGAGCGCATCGCTACCTTCCTCCACCGTTGTTTACACTCAACTAGCCTATCGCCGTTGTCCTTCCTCCGCCGACGGCAAGACTCTTCTTCTTTGGCAGACCGAGTGTAAGGAATAATTGTATTTAGATTTTGATGATGCTAGATTAATTAGGACTTTAGAGTACCCCTATTTAGATTTAATGTATTAGAATTTTCCTTTGTAAAGTTCTTAGAGTAATCGACTTGACAGAATGCCTTCAGAGCAAAAGACCTTCTGAGCAGAAGGGCTCCAAGAGCAGAAGAGCCTCGTAAGGCATTATTGAAACAGAGGACCTTTGGTTCTCTGCTTCAGAACAGAAGACCTCAGGGTCTCTGTTAGTCTTTACTCTGACAGAAACCCTTCTGGGTCTCTGTTGGATATTATCCCAACAGAAGTGCTCCAGACCTCCTCTGTTCTACTCTCAGTTAAAGACACCAGAAGGTCTGACACTTAGAAGAATTTCACAGAACCGGGAAGTCAACTAAAAGATTCCTTCAACGGCTAGGAGTATGAAACGGAAAAGCTATAGTGCGCGCATTAAATGCTCATTTAATGCACCACATGTTACGTAGAGTAATTGCAGATGATTGACCGCATTGTCAGGAATACTTTATCCCAAAATAGTAACCCGCCAACTTTACCGGGCTCTACTAGTCAAGTCAACTGATCGCTCATTTAATGCAGTTGTCCTCCTACTCCTCCAACGGGAAGACAACCTCAGTATAAAAGATACACTACGAAGAACAACCGGATAACTTTGCAACTTTTGCTAACCATTGCTACAACTCTTCATACAAGATATTCAAACTCTGAAAAGCAAAAAGCCTCCTTGAGATTCAAACTCATTATCTTCTACAAGAGAAGGCAGAAGTTGGAAAAATACTT